TATTATCTTTCATTAGATATCCGTTACTAAGCTCCCTGTATTATCGCATTAGATATCCGTTACTAAGCTCCCCATATTATCTTTCATTAGATATCCGTTACTAAGCTCCCTGTATTATCGCATTAGATATCCGTTACTAAGCTCCCCATATTATCTTTCATTAGATATCCGTTACTAAGCTCCCTGTATTATCGCATTAGATATCCGTTACTAAGCTCCCCATATTATCTTTCATTAGATATCCGTTACTAAGCTCCCTGTATTATCGCATTAGATATCCGTTACTAAGCTCCCCATATTATCTTTCATTAGATATCCGTTACTAAGCTCCCTGTATTATCGCATTAGATATCCGTTACTAAGCTCCCCATATTATCTTTCATTAGATATCCGTTACTAAGCTCCCTGTATTATCGCATTAGATATCCGTTACTAAGCTCCCCGTATTATCTTTCATTAGATATCCGTTACTAAGCTCCCCGTATTATCTTTCATTAGATATCCGTTACTAAGCTCCCCGTATTATCTTTCATTAGATATCCATTACTAAGCTCCACGTATTGCCTTTCATTAGATATCCGTTACTAAGCTCCCCGTATTATCTTTCATTAGATATCTGTTACTAAGCTCCCCGTATTATCTTTCATTAGATATCCGTTACTAAGCTCCTTGTGTTATCTTATTAGATATCCGTTACTAAGCTCCCCATATTATCTTTCATTGGATATCCGTTATTAAGCTCCTTGTGTTATCTCATTAGATATCCGTTACTAAGCTCCCTGTATTATCTTTCATTAGATATCCGTTTCTAAGCTCCTTGTGTTATCTCATTAGATAGCCGTTACTAAGCTCCCCGTATTATCTTTCATTAGATATCTGTTACTAAGCTCCCCGTATTATCTTTCATTAGATATCCGTTACTAAACTCCCCGTATTGTCTTTCATTAGATATCCGTTACTAAGCTCCCCGTATTATCTTTCATTAGATATGGATTACTAAGCTCCCCGTGTTATCTCATTAGATATTCGTTACTAAGCTTCCCGTATTATCTTTCATTAGATATCCGTTATTAAGCTCCCCGTATTATTTTTCATTAGATATGCATTACTAAGCTCTCCGTATTATCTTTCCTTAGATATCCGTTACTAAGATCCCCGTATTACCTTTCATTAGATATGCGTTACTAAGCTCCCCGTATTATTATTATTATGTTATTTATATAGCGCCATCAAACTCTGCAGCGCTTTACAATGGGTGGACGAACAGACATGTAGTTGTAACCAGATAAGTTGAGGGCCCTGCTCAAAGAGCTTACATGCTAGAGGGAGTGGTGTAAAATGACAAAAAAAAGGTAAGGATAGTATTAGACTAGTGACAGTTGCAGAAGAGGAATCCTGTATTATCTCATTAGATATCCGTTACTAAGCTCCCCATATTATCTTTCATTAGATATCCGTTACTAAGCTCCCTGTATTATCGCATTAGATATCCGTTACTAAGCTCCCCATATTATCTTTCATTAGATATCCGTTACTAAGCTCCCTGTATTATCGCATTAGATATCCGTTACTAAGCTCCCCATATTATCTTTCATTAGATATCCGTTACTAAGCTCCCTGTATTATCGCATTAGATATCCGTTACTAAGCTCCCCATATTATCTTTCATTAGATATCCGTTACTAAGCTCCCTGTATTATCGCATTAGATATCCGTTACTAAGCTCCCCATATTATCTTTCATTAGATATCCGTTACTAAGCTCCCTGTATTATCGCATTAGATATCCGTTACTAAGCTCCCCGTATTATCTTTCATTAGATATCCGTTACTAAGCTCCCCGTATTATCTTTCATTAGATATCCGTTACTAAGCTCCCCGTATTATCTTTCATTAGATATCCATTACTAAGCTCCACGTATTGCCTTTCATTAGATATCCGTTACTAAGCTCCCCGTATTATCTTTCATTAGATATCTGTTACTAAGCTCCCCGTATTATCTTTCATTAGATATCCGTTACTAAGCTCCTTGTGTTATCTTATTAGATATCCGTTACTAAGCTCCCCATATTATCTTTCATTGGATATCCGTTATTAAGCTCCTTGTGTTATCTCATTAGATATCCGTTACTAAGCTCCCTGTATTATCTTTCATTAGATATCCGTTTCTAAGCTCCTTGTGTTATCTCATTAGATAGCCGTTACTAAGCTCCCCGTATTATCTTTCATTAGATATCTGTTACTAAGCTCCCCGTATTATCTTTCATTAGATATCCGTTACTAAACTCCCCGTATTGTCTTTCATTAGATATCCGTTACTAAGCTCCCCGTATTATCTTTCATTAGATATGGATTACTAAGCTCCCCGTGTTATCTCATTAGATATTCGTTACTAAGCTTCCCGTATTATCTTTCATTAGATATCCGTTACTAAGCTCCCCGTATTGTCTTTCATTAGATATCCGTTACTAAGCTCCCCGTATTATCTTTCATTAGATATGGATTACTAAGCTCCCCGTGTTATCTCATTAGATATTCGTTACTAAGCTTCCCGTATTATCTTTCATTAGATATCCGTTATTAAGCTCCCCGTATTATTTTTCATTAGATATGCATTACTAAGCTCCCCGTATTATCTTTCATTAGATATCCGTTACTAAGTACCAGTCTACCCTGCTCTTCTAAAATGCTCCCATCACCATCACGTTTTGTCAGTTTGTTTAGCTGTTGCTAGTAATAGCTGTGGGAAAAGACTTTTAATGATGCTTCACAAGTTCCACCAGATCTCAATGCTGCGCTCTGGTACATGCATGAGTTAGGTCCCAAGCTGAGGACCAGTCTACCCTGCTCTTCTAACATGGGAGTTCCACCATCATGTTTTGTCAGTTTGCTTAGCTGTTTTGTCAGTTTGTTAAGCTGTTGCTAATAATAGCTGTGGGAAAAGGCTTTTTAAAATGATGCTTCACAAGTTCCACCAGATCTCAATGCTGAGCTCTGGTACATGCATGAGTTGGGTTCTGGTAGATGACATGCCATTTGCTGAAGGAAGAAGAGGATGATGCCTGTGTAAAAGAGCTGCAGGTAAGTGTGACATATCCATCTGTGTGACTGGTATTGCTGGTTCGTCTAATTTGCCTCCATTCGCGGAATTGCCTGTCCGTATTCCCCTGTTCGTTATTATAGACTTGTACCGAACAAACTACCGAACGGACGGCCACCCAGGAGAGAAGTGTTAGCCGATAGTCCCCCTTTCTAGAGACACAGGCTCTATACAGCCGACCTCCAAACTCCTGAAAGGAGTGCAAAGGAATGCGGTAAATCCACGAACATGCAAATCAGCCGAATCCCTTCTTCAGCTAAAACAGGTGAAAGAAATCCTTCCAAGTATGAATCCCCCCAAACACGAGACATTGCTCCAAAAGCTCTTGGTGTCTGAGAACCAGCACACCGGGGACACTGTGGCTGTGAGAGTAGCCCGGGCGCTGTGTTCCGCCTGCCTACTGCATTTGGATTGGGGAGTGGGCGCTAGGCATGTGAATGTGGGGATCATGAGGGACTTACCCGCAGATGTCCTCCTTGGAAACGATTTGGCCAATCTTGTCTCTGCATATGCTCCCATGGGTCCTGCTGAAGTTAATGCTGTGACGACCCATGCCCAGACCCGTGCCGCCGAGACCCGCCACCTGCTGCTGAGACCCAGGTAAGACCCTATATCCCGACGGTAAAGGATCCTGCTATTCGTGCAGCGCTGATCCTTGTAGTTTCTCCCGAAATCCAGCTGAAGTAAATCCCCCAAACATGAGTCGAGACTTCATGAAGGGGTAAAACGATTTGATTTAATGGGGGCTACCCGCCCGGTATTTATGCAGGTCTCCCACCTGGTGGACACTCCTCTAGGGGACCAGATGGAAGACTGGGACAAAAGAATTACAGTAGCCAATCGCAGTGGCTCCAACATAAGCACTTCCCTTTGCATGTGTAAATCCCTCCTCTCTATCATGGAGATAACTAACTTAAGTTAGTAAAAGAAACCTCAATTATCTGCAGGTAGAGAAAAACATGTCTTTTTATATATTCCCAAAACAGTATTAAAATCTATAACTGATATTTTACTGAACATAAACTTTAAGTCCCACATACCCCCAGATAGCTTGGATCTGAGCGCACAGTTTAGGCGAATAGCGCTCAGATCCCACGAACACAGTTCTCAATATCGTCAAATGAAGTTAGGACTTCACCGGTTGTTCGCGTGTTAGTATCCGAGAAAGAGTTCCATAACTGTAGCTATCTGGGGTCGGTTTATTTCGTATCGCATAAAAGTCCCGAATGGTAAAATGTTCCCGGCATTCACGTGTTTCCAGCCGTATGAACGGGGACCTTGGTAAGCACCAGCGATGTTCGGCGGAATAAGTGGCCGAAAAGAGTTCCAGGGCATTGCCGCCATTTACCGCTGAGTGTTCGACGATTTAAAATGGCGACTGCCACGTGTTCGGCAGACGAACGTGGACCACCAAGCTGTTCCTCAATTACTCTGTGGTTAACTCCAAGGTCTGGGCGGTTAATGAGCACCACCCAACCTCAATAAGAGGTCGGGTGATTCGGCAGCTTGTTCGTTTTATTTGTATTTGCACGAAATCACCACACACACGCATAAATAACCAAAAAGGCTGTTTCTCATAGTCTGTTTAACACGGGATTTCGTTACACCGACTTGCACCTTTAGATCAGGCTCCCTTAGGCTGGGATACCCCAGAGATGTACAGGAGGGAAACCCAGGAGGATCCGACCCTGGCAAAGTAGTGCAGTGCAGATGCTGGGGAAGAGGAGAGCGGTATGAGTGGGTGGGGGATAGGCTGTATAGGATTCCCAAACCTTCCCAGAAAAAGAATACCCCTTCACAGAACCGGCAGCTGGTGGTGCCTGCAAAATACCGGCTGGAGATTCTGCGGATTGGGCATGATGTGCCGTTAGCTGGACATCTAGGGTCCCGCAGCACAGCTCATAGGATCACCCAAAATTTCTTCTGGCCCAATTTTAACCGAAACATGCGGGTCTATTGTAGCACTTGTGACACATGTCAATGGGTAGGTAAACGGGGGGATCACCCAAAAGCTAGGCTTATGTCTATGCCTATCATTGGGGAACCCTTTTCCCGCATAGCCGTTGACATTGTGGGTCCACTGGCCTGGGCTAGTCCATCAGGTAAGAAGTATATTCTCACCGTGGTGGACTATGCCACTCGTTACCCAGAGGCAGTAGCGCTGTCTAATATTGAGGTAGAGTTAGTAGCTGATGCACTGGTTAAGATTTTTACTAGGGTAGGGTTCCCTCAGGAGATTCTCTCCGACCAGGGGACTCAGTTCACCGCTGTGCTCACCCAGCAGCTGTGGAAGGTGTGCGGCATGAAACCGCTGCTTAGTTCACCTTATCACCCACAGACTAACGGTCTCTGTGAGCGCTTTAATGGCACCCTCAAGCAGATGCTGAGGACCTTTACTGACACTTGCAGAGACTGGGAGCGATTCCTGCCTCATCTGCTATTTGAATACAGAGAGGTGCCCCAGAAATCTACTGGGTTCTCTCTCTTTGAGCTACTCTATGGGAGAAGGGTCCGTGGACCCCTAGATCTCATCGGAGGACACTGGGAGGGAGAGACAGAGCAGGAAGGAACTCCCATAGTACCATATGACCTGGAACTCCGGAACTGCATGGAAAGCTGTCCCTAATGGTAAGGGAGAATCTCCAGGTGGCCCAGGGGAGACAGAAGAGGTGGTACGATCGGGGTGCCCGACAGCGGGTCTTCCAGGTTGGGCAGAAGGTTTTAGTGCTCAAACCTGTGAAGACGAACAAGATGCAAGCATCTTGGCAGGGCCCGTATAAGATAGTAGCTCAGGTATGTGATACTACCTACCTTATAGCCAGCTGTGCAGATGAAAGGATTCAGCGATCCTTTCATGTGAACATGCTGAAGGAGTATCAGGAGAGACCAGAAGATGTCGCTGCAGTCTGCGCCCCGGCTGCAGATGACCCAGAGAATTTAATCCTGCCTGACTTATTAGAGAAGGAACCCCAGACTGACCTCACTAGTCTTGTACAGTTAGGGGATCGGTTAAGCCATACGGAGAAGGTACAGGCAAAACAGCTTTTGTGGGAGAAGCAGGCGACGTTCTCCCAAGAGCCCGGCTACACCACCTTAGCTGTACGTAAGCCGCTTGGAAAATATATTTGTTTGGCTGTTATCAGCGATTCAGGGATTATTGTTCAGGAGTTTGGAGCATACGTACGGGTCCCGTTCGGGAGATCGGCGCATTCCCCTGGTTGCAGTTCGTACGGTGGAAGTATATACGAATGGAGCTTGCATTATTGCGAAAGGGGAAGCTTAACTAAACGGCGGTTTCACTCCTTTGTGCCAGGGGTGTCTTAACAAAAAGTACATGCTTCACTTGAACAGAGCCTTTTAAAGTATTTTAGCCAGGTCTATTGCAGGGGCCATAGTCACAGGGTAAGAGGCTCGCCAGCAGGCTCCTCCAAGAACCAGTGACGAGGTTCAGTTCGTCACAATTATAATAATCCATATGCTGATAAACTCATATGGTTCCTGATAATTTAACAAAAAGTAACATTCTTTTTGCGGATTGTCTCAATCAATAGTATATGAAGTAACTTATTCCATATGCTAACTCGGTTGATTGTATTTGTCATGAACTAACAATCCGTGTGATCCTGTAATATGCCATCTCTTGTTCAATATTATTGAAAACTATTTACTAATTACCATGTATAATTACACTTATTGACAAAAATAAATATTATATTTTTATAAAAAGTTGTGATATTAATGTATGAAATATTAAATTCGAACAACATGCCCCAGGTCTAAAGAGTTAAAATAGTGAGTAACTCTTTCCTTTAAATAATAGATGGGAATAGCGCCAATAAAATATCAACCCCTGATAGTTTAATAAAGATGATTAATTTTAATAATTTTTATGAAAATATTATTTAAGTTAATGAAAATTAATTAATAGTAATTAATCCCCATAAATATCTTCACACCTTTTACATCAGAATTTCAAACTATGTCTTTAGCATACTGATTATTTTGTTTCTTTCTTTTAATCTTCAAGGTAGCTATGGAGTTCACGAAAGTCAAGAAATTTCAAACAATGAAAAAATGCACAAAAAAAACCTACAAGCGAAATCATGTGCAATGCATGGAACAAGCAAAAATAGAGAGTCAGAGAATGGCGGCTGGGCCAAGCCTAAACATACAGAATCTTTATATAACTGGAATTTCTGTGACTAAACTGAATCAGAACACAAGACAGTCTATAAGAGATGTATATGACACTGAAGATCCGGTCTGTGTAGAAAACACTCTCATAGTCAGGTCTTATTGCAGACCATTAGATATAAGTATAAAGGGATACCCACTCAGCACGTCTAACGCAAATAGAACTGAGTTTGGGCAGCGTTTTGGAAAGCCTATATCCGGGATGTATTGTCAGTCTTGGTGGGCGTATAGGTTTGCGGCCTGTGCTCTTCTTTCAAACCACCACGCAGAGCCAAGACAAGAGACTTCTTATTCCATCGTAGGGTATCGATTTCACCATAATATGCAGTCTTTGCTAACTTCGAAGTCTTTCCCTCACCCTATAAGTGGTAAGATGATTGTAGCATGTTATCCACCAACACATGCCTCTAATAGTACTATTCATTGCCCGTCAAAACCAGTCCTGAAATCTGCAGCCACTCAGACACTTGTGACACAGGAAAGTGGCTTCCAAAAAAAGGGAGACGGAAAAATTTAAATTAAAAAAGCAGAAAATGAGAGTTTAGAATATTAGATTTCTGCAAATGTGCAAATAACTGGAGAACGACGTTCTACTGAATGGAACTAACAATATTGCAAAACATCATTTTCTGTTCCCAAATCGGATTGACAGGAAGATATAGAATTAAAATGATTTTTCCTCAGAAGCTGCAAATTCTTGTAAAGAGGTTTCTCAATGAGAAGGAGAGTGAAGAGGTCTATCACACTATTCCTAGTCATGGTATTGCCCACAAGTCAGTCTTATAAGATTTAACAAACAATATGATACTCCTCAGTACTTCTGTATACCCTTTAATGTGTACTCACAGCAGCAACATTTTGACCCAGTAATAGTCTTTATCAAGCCATGTAATTGGGGGATTAGTCAAATTTGATGAAGACCCTATTGCAGGGTCGTATACATTTAAGGGAATGTATCATTACTGAGGAGTGCTGGACCATTTGATTTTATCTTCATTGGGAAGCACATTGAGGGACCATCTGGACTCCTTCCTCCCCATCTCTGATGCTGGCCTTTTCCTGTTGGGAGATACAATACAGTATGGAAACATTTCAGAACTCTATGGAACAGAACATACGACTGCTGCTGAGAAAACAGGCAGTGATACCCTAAACCTAGGCCCACAATGCTTTGCAGCTAGGGCCAGTCTGTGCTCAGTCTATGTAATATGTTATGGGTTTGCAGGGCTTCTTCCCTGAGCAGACCTCTCTGAAAATATACAGCGTACTGCACGGCCCAGCAGCTATACTCAGCTTCTTAATGTAATATAGAAACATTCAGATACTGAAACACAAAACATTCACCTTTGCTGCAAATTAGTAGGATTTACAGCATTTTCACTGAACTAGGCTAGACCTGAAATCTCTCAGCCAACCCGGCTGGCCCCATTGCATCCAGCGCCATTGCTGCTTGTATCCCATAAAGTCCTGCACAGCTGTTTGTGTAAGTCATGAAGCTGTATAATGAACAAAGAGCTTTATTCAGAAAAGACTCCAATGAAGCAATTTGACAAAGCAGTGAAAGCCAAGCAGGTAGAAACATTATTTAAATACAACCCTTTAGTGCTACCCAATCACATAACCAACAAGAAACAAATCACCATGCACTCAGGTTCCACTCAACAATCCGGCCATCTATCTGGGAGGGGCTCTGTGAAAATAGCAGACATCAGAGTGCAACAATATGGAACATAGTGTCACGTATTCATCCGCTTACAAAAATGTGGTTAATGACATTTACTGTCCACACAGGAAAAGTTGTGCCGAGCAGCAACCTAATCCACAGAAGGGTTAATGCTGAGCAGCAATTACGCAAATGGAAACCTGGTAACTGCCTGTGGGGTCAAAGGCCGGTTACAGCCTATCAGACCTAGAGGAGGGGTATTTAGGCCCAGTTCTCATCCTGCTCAGTGCCCTGTCGTGGTTTCCCTTGTGTTTGTCCGAGAGCGCGTTATTGATTCTGGTAATTCTGGTTATTTGACTTTGGCATTGTTTTTGACTTCCCTGTTTTCTGGCATCCCTGACTCCTGGCTTTTCCTTATCGTTGTGTCTCTTTCTGTTTCCCTTGACCTCGGCTAT